AGGGCTGGAAATCTTAAAATATTAGAATGGTAAATGTAATTTTAAAAATATATTTTAATTATATGTAAATCCTTTCTATTCCTTTTGTAATCAAGAAATATTAAACAGTTCCATTCAGTAATTTTCCTTCCTCTGCATCTTAGCCTTGCCCCAGTCCACCATGTGATTATATCTTAGTAAATCACAGAAGAAAATAGTGGCCACAGCATGCCCAAAATATAAAGAGAGAAGACTGAAACGGAGCCAGAATAAAAGGCTACTCAAATTCATAGATTTTAATTTGCCTTCACATGAATTTTTTTATTTCTGGACAATACCTTAACAAATGGTAAAGCTGAAATTGATCAAGCTATTTTGATCAAAACATCATTAAAGAAATTACCTGAATAAAGTAAGGTCATTTTATATCAGAAAAATATTTGGTGAAAACTTTGGAAAAATTAATACATCCTCATTTGAACTGATGTAATTAACTCCCATTATCGCTTTTACTTCTATATGGTGTGCTCCCACCTACCCACATTATTAAAACATGTTTTCAATATGTGTCTTGAGCCACTACAAGAGCATCAGTGTCACAGCTCTGGAAACCATAATCCACTACAACTGCTGATTTTGCAACCACCACCCTTCCCAGAGCTACCAATGACTCTTCAATCACCCACATTCACACTGTCTGCAACAGCAGCGAGAGGCAGATGATCCAACATCTAATCATCTGCCCACAACTCCAGATTCCATGCATAGCAGAAGACCTCGCTATAGCCAATAAACATGCAATTAGATGTGTGTACTACTGGATGGAAAGCATATAGGAATACGCAGACATGACAAGAAAAATTATATGTAACTTAATCTGTAAGGGAGTGAGAGGAAGTATTATTGTGCACATTAATACTGACAATATATCTATGTTCACATCCATCTTAAAAGTTAAAGTACGGGTCAACATTAATAACATTTGAATATAATTCATAGAGGTACTTTTATTACTGAGACTATTTAAGTCTTTCTGGACTGAGAGGGGAAGAGGGTTAATGACAGCTGCTAATTTTTTTCCCTTCTCACAATGAAAATTTTATGAATCTTAGTTGAACTTACTGAACAGTTTCAGCTTAAAAAAATCATAGAATTTTCTTTACTTCTTCTACATTGTAATATGTTCAAAATTTTGAGAGAAACTGTTTTGAGAAATACACAAACACTTGCTTTCATCTTAGAATTTCAATCTTTTATAGTTGATCAGAAAGTTCCATTTACATTGCAAACCATGGTGTTTGTATGAGTATTCATCTATCTCCTGTTTACGACAGTCACTTCCTGTGCTGTGTTTTAACAATGTTGATGCCAAATTTTATTTCACAAGCAGGATATTCTACACTAAATTATTAGGAATTAATCACACTATCATTCACATTTCAAAATGTGATGTAACTTAAAGAATAAAAATGTAGATTTACCTTATGTAAATCTACATTTGATTGGCTTTTAGCATGACTGAAATGCTCAACAATTACTTTTTGGAGTGGATGGTATAAGTAGCTCAGAGCTTTGGCTCCGAGTGAAACCAAGAGTGCAACACAATTAACCTTTTTAAACTCCATGAAATAATTTCAAATGATAGATTAACTTAAAATTTTACTGTCAATGGGAACAAGTAATTTTGCTTATTTGTATATAAAATCAGATTCAACTTTAATCATATTCATTAATATAATTTTTTTTCTTCTTTATTTTACTGATTGCAGTAGTCACCACTTACGATTATAATTCTTAATAAAACACAGTGCAAACTGAAATATTTGTCAGTGAGCTCAACCTCATCTGTCATAATGTCGTGAGATCAGATTAGATAAAAATATTTTGGCTAAGAACATTATTTTCAATGTATAATAAGTTCTTTATCTATATTGCTTGAATATAATAAATAAAATATTCAATAAATATGGGTTTGAACCACTACAATATTCTCTAACTCTAACTTGCCTGATATCTTGTCATAGAAGAAAATTTCCTTTGATTCAAAACAAATATAATTAAACATAAAAACATTCTTGGGGTGAAAATAAAGTCTAAAGAAACTATAAAAAAACTCCAAGGTCTTTCTACTAAGTTCCATTGTTCTTCTCTACAGAAACTAAATCCAAACACTTTCCCACATAACCACAAATAATTTCTCCAACCAATTTATTTGAGAATTTCATTTATCATACTTATAGAAAACCTTACTTATTGCAAGTTATTCACTAAAGCTATTTTATATGGTACTTTACAGATACTCTAACACCCTTTATAGTTGCTATCGTAAATCTTTAAATTTCTTAATTATTTTTACTTTTAATAATACTAAAAAAGAAATTCCTGGTTCCTGAACTACAATATTATGCATTTATAATCTACAATTCCAGCTTTTATGAACTACAAACATTCTCAGCTTCTTTTAACTGCTAAATTTACTCAGAAATAGCTCAGCTAACAAACCTGCATGATTTCATCAATCTCCTCTAAAACCTGTTCTGCTGTAACAATAGGTTCCTGACACATGGAATTATAAATAAGGGAATGCATGTCCAAATCTTTAGCAAGTTCTTCGTCTTCAGAAACATCAAGTTCATTTTCAAAATCAGTATCCTGAAACAATGCAATTAAAAAAAATTCATATATAACTGCATATCCAAAAACTAGCTTATTCAGTACAAGATTCTCTCATATATACGAGTTTACTTTCTTCAATCTGATTCAGACTGAGTATGTTTTATTACACTGACAGATTTTGTGGGTACATGTAATTTACACCTTTGTATTCTATTACACTTACATAATTTTTCTTGCATTATTTTTATTGAATACTCATGTAATTTTTACTTTGAGGGTTATGTTGAAAAAGTTCATCATAATACATATAATTTTACTCAGTTTCAAGTTTACTGTATGTCATACTCACATACATGTATTTTTATTTTAGTTTTAGTTGTGTGTAGCTATAACACACAATTTTCTTTATCAGACTGACTGTCAATGATATTTTGCTACACCTACAAAAGATGTTACTAACTTTCTTGCTTAAGGATAAATATTATGGCATCATAATAGCACACAGCTTTAACTTTCTTATGTTTCTGGTTGAGTATTATGATGTTAAACATATTGATAAATTTTAACTTGACTGTATTTCAAACTAATGTGAATAAAAACAAATTTATCTACAATATCATAAATTCATAAGATACAAAAACACAATTAAAATTGTTGTAAGAAAAAAACATGGTCAACAATTTAGCCAAATGACTATGCTGAATATTGCAATGTTATACATGCACATGAATTTTGCTCTGTGATTCTGGTTGAGTATTTTTAATGTATAAACATGATTTCTCTGATTTTTCTTAGTTCACACTGATTATTTTTCATACTTACACACACACACACACACACACACATATATATGTTTTACTTACTTTCTTTTCATTCAGATTAAGAACAGGAAGCTGAATTTTGCGAGCATATGACTTGGACCAGTCAATAGGAAGAATATTTCCATAATTTCCTGTAATTGTCCACCACATCCTACCCAAACAAGAAGCAAACTTATTACATCATAAAATTTTAGCTAACAAAGTTATAATTTGATATGTAGGAGGAAAAAAAAACAATAAGGTAAGAATTATGCCTACCAATGATGACCAAAAAATATATATTTTACAAAAATAGTTGAACCTGTAATGAAACTAAAGTAAGGAATAACTGCAGAAATGAACTTATCAACTGTCACATAACTATTTTTTTTTCATGTGAACTAAAACCCATACAGACATACTTGTGCAGTTTTGCACAGTTTAAGGTTATTTTCCTACTTTATATCAGTTTTCTTATTGTACCATTTTTAAACAACTACAGTCTGTTTATCATCATGATGTTTGATACATATTACAAGATGATATTGTTTAATGGTAGCAGCAACTACTTAACATAAAATCTATTGTTTATGCTAAAGATCCATATTTTAATATTTCACTGTTTAAACCTTTTATAATACAAATATACAATATGCAAAAAAGCAACCATTAAACAAATCTCCATTAACTCTCTCAACACAGGCTCGGTTGATTTGGCCGACCATATGACCACTTTGTACTCATTTAAAGTCTTTATAGATTTGGTACTACTAACTTTTAATATAGCACGTATATCTTCACAAAATTTGGCAGTTTTTCTGTAAACATTATGAGTCTTTCACAAGCAAAAAGTCATTTTTAGTGGAGTATTTTAAAAAACTAAAAAAAAGATATGTTCGTGAATATTTCAAGTATTTGTTTTGAATAGTCCATGTGCAAAGTGATTTTCATGTTAAGATTAAAAATACTTTTCTTCATCTCAAATTTCATTGGCGTAATCTCTAAAACCTCCTAAATAGATTTCAATTGTTATTTTCTCTACCCTAACTCTAAGGGGTCTATGAATTTGCCCGGCCTCATAATCACCATAAAAAATTAAGAAATTAATTTAAATTATGCTTTTTTTTTGTTCTAGAATGAATACAAATAGTAACACGAAAACACAAATGCTTACTCTAAATAGCTTAAATCTCATAACATTATACATTTATATATATTTATTATATTGATCTTTCAGCCATGACTGGCTAACAATACAGAAGTTATAATGATGTGGTGCATGTGCACTCGTGATACAATATCCAATAATAGTCTTTACAAAGTGACCTGTCTTGGCTGTGTTTTAGTGGACTAGTATTTTGTAAAATACAGTCACATTTCAATTATTATACATTACATATGTATATACATTAATACAGCACAGAACAGCAAATAAAGAAGTAAAGCAAAAAATTATCTTCTAGTTACAACCCTTGTACTCGTTTGCTACTTGACATAGGTTGCAAAGCTTCGTGAAATTTCCCATGCAGAGGATATGAAAAGAAAATTTTTTTAGGATTTATATACATATTTTAAATAACCAAAAAAAATCATAAATTACTATATCGATACCATAGAATTCCATCATAATTTATCAAGCATAGTAACTAAGCTGTATTTGGGTCTAAAAAAAAGATATGAAATTTTGAGCTCACTAAACACTTACCTTAGTAACTAAGCTGTATTTGGGTCTAAAAAAAAATATGAAATTTTGAGCTCACTAAACACTTACCTTATCGGTTGAAATTTTGTGTGAATATAATGAGATTAATACAATAACATGTCAAAATGGCTGAGAAAACCAATAGGAGGACATTCCGAGCTTTTGACTGGTTATTCATGTCATATATAGAAGTAAGTGTATATAAGGGAGCATTTCCAAAAATGGAAAGAGGTGGGTGGGAGCCCACTGTGTTTGATTCAGTATGAGTGATATCTTAGCAAATAGAAAAGACAAGAGGTTCTTATTTTATATTCTAGCTTGTAAATATCTGTAGTTTGAGTTCTTAATTCGTATGAAACTATAGACTTTGTATTTTGACTTCACAAGCATCTAATTTGAACCAGTGCTGCATTAAACATGCCACGTAACACACAAAAATCAATGTTTACTTATAAAATTAAGAAATTAACTAAGGTATAATACTAAAATTTGAATCATAATCTACAATTTGATACCAAACTTATTGACATAAATTCATAAAACAGTAGCTCAATAAAATTTTGAATGAAAGTCAACAAATGTGATGACATGGCCTTTGACATGTGACCCATCACAATAGTGTTAATCCTTTGTACACTACACATCATCCAACAAAACTGCAATACTTTGTTGTAGAGTCAACTGCATATTAGAGACTACATTATCACATAGCTATGCAACCAATTACTGTTTTGCCACTCTGTTTAATGAACAGCTTATAAAGACCAAACTGAAAATGTTAGCAAGATATTGTTCAGTTATGCTAAAGGAATTCAGATGTGTCTTTAACCTCCTAAAGCGAAGTTTGACCACTTCAGAAGATTTAGGTTAGTCCAAAATAAATATATATATTAAGCTACCAATTCAAAACATTCTCTATAATAAAAGTATAATAATAAAAAATAATGTAATTTGATCTACTTTACTTAGGGAAAACAGAAACACTAGCTGTTGGCTTGAATTATTGCCTAGTAGAACATGCCTGATTTTTCTCCAATTCTATCTGACATACCTCTTGACCAATCAAAGCTCATTAAATCACTCCTGTTATCTAACATTGGAGAAAAGTGACATCTATGACACATTTATAACAATGATGTTACTGTTTAAACTGTGTTGAATTAGTAGCAGTAATTTCCCTATAGTATAATAAAAAAACATTTAAGATACAAAACAATACGAGAAGAATACCTGAATCACCCATGAAAATATGACAATGTTAGATGTAATACAAAGAAAACAACTTGCTAAACATACTATGTGGTGTATACCCTAACTAACCTCGAATACTTAAACATAGAATTGGCTACAGGAAGTAATAAGTAGAATTAGATCTTCTGTAAAAGACAAAAACATGGCATGCTAAGCTTCAAGAAATTTCAATGAATACTTAGAAATGAAAGTTATTATGGAGAAGAAAGAGAATGTAATTAACAAAAACTAATCTAAATAATGATGTAATATCATACTATTTACACAGAACTGTCATATAGCATATATTAACTTGACATGACAGGAGATGAAACCAGTAGTAGCCAATAAACTGAAAGTGGTTTACTACTACCCTAAACAATATATCCAAACAACTAAAATGTAGCCATGATACTCTGCGAAACTTATAAACCCATAACCTGCAGCAATAATATTGTTGGATTTCCCACATAAATGAATGAATTTCATGTTCATAGTGTTAATGAGAAACCTCATTTGTGAAAAATTAAAGTTAATGATTCCTGTCCACAAAACCTTATAAAAATGAACACATTTTATTGTATCTAATAAGCTGAGAGTAGTAGACATTGTAACATCACTTGTTTGGAATATTTGTACTTGAGAAGGAAAGATAATAACCTCAAAGTTGAAAGTGTCCATTTTATAGAAAACTTTAAACTTGAATGTTTGATTGATGATGCTGATATCTGAATACAAGTATTATGCTCTGTTTTTAGTGACAACTATTTTCATGATGAGCTCCAGTGGATAAACTTCTTCACTGTGTTTTGAAAACCTTGATAATCTGGTATAGGAATATCAACTAAAAATCTACAAGTGAATGATGTGAACTGTTTTACTAGAGTTATTCTTAAAGTATATAAATTACAGTAAAAAAAAAAAATGTTGCACTTTTGGGCTGAAGTTATTTCCCATTGAAATTCCATGTACCTGTTGGAAAACATGTATTACAAGAATTCATTGAATGTGAAACAGTGGCAATTTCTGGGAGTGACATAGAAATTTCTGTGTTTATTGATGCATTGTTATAATTTACTTAAATTATTAAAGGACCATGAAATTACTGATCAAAGTCACTTTTTTTTTTATGTACATAAATACAAAGACTAGTGCAAATATTACTCCTATCAATGCAAGCCTGTCTGGAGGTTCTCAAATTTCATACTATTTTTTTATAAGAAAATTTGATCTACATCACAGCTAGTTAACCTGTTGCACAAGAAGTGAAAACTTGTAGCATGCCTGTCATTAATAAAATATCACATGTTGTGGCACACATTACAATTTTTGTTTTGAATTTCCAAATGTGCATGAAATGTTATTAAAATACGTCATATTACTAATCATTTTATTTAAATTGTAAAGCCTTTTAATTTAACTTTTTATTCCCCCTCTTCATTCCAATGAACTTTGTTTTGGAGTATGTTTTTTTTTTTTGAGTCAGTGACACTTTACTCAAAATTTGGAAATTTAAATTGGCACAATTTCTAAGAGTTTAGCCCACTAAGTCAAGTGTGACATGGCAAAGGATGAATATTCTAATCATCTATTTACACAGTATTTTTAAACTTTCATAATTTAAATTAGTATATCCACTATGTTGAGAAGAACAATCAATCATGGGCGTAAACCTTGAAATAAGAAACACAATGAAGCACAAGTCTCAAAACTGAATGTCTCTGATGGACAACTTCTATCAAAAATTAAATGTTATTTGTAGAAAGGAAAAAGAAAACAAAAAAGAAGAAATGAAGAACATTATAAAAATAAATTTGCAACTGACCTTGCCAAATACCAACAAATAAGTAGAATAAAGATCTCTAATTTTAAATAAAACATCACAATTGTTAATATTCATTGCTCCTTGTACTCTAGTCCATATGGTAACAACAAGAGAAAACAAAAAAGTCCTGGTAAATAGTTGTTAAAACATATTAGAGAAGAATATGGTGCACTGATTTTTATGTAACTTAGACCTGTTGATTGTGATACTGAACTCAAAATTTGACCAAAAATTTAGTTTTGTATACATTTTCAGAATCAGCAGGTCCAATGTCTAGTTTCTTAGAAATGACACAAGATTATTGTTGAAAATAATATATCTTTTATTCACCTCGTTACACCCCCCTTTTAAAGCCAGGTAAAATTTTATATTAATTTAGTACATTTAGAAAATAAAATAAGTAATGAGCCAAATA